TTTATTTATTTGAGACAGAGAGAATGAGAGACAGAGAGCATGAGAGAGAGGAGGGTCAGAGGGAGAAGCAGACTCCCCGCCGAGCAGGGAGCCTGATGCGTAACTTGATCCCGGGACTCCAGGATCATGACCTGAGCCAAAGGCAGTCGCTTAACCAACTGAGCCACCCAGGCGCCCTGAGAGGAATTTTAAAAAAGACTCTCCAATGGCTAAGGAAGCAAACACTCGCATAGTCTGCTGCTAAGAGTTCACCAGTACATAGTTTTTAGAGTGTAATTTTTCAATCTGTATACATAGATGCATATATTTGAGCCAGCAGTAACACTTTTAGGAATTTATTTCAGAAAATATCCTAAATACGCATAATGATTTAGCTACATGCTGCTTACTACAATCTTATTTAAAATAATGAAAACTGGGCATAAACTCTATGCCCTACAGAGGAAATACGTTTGAAAAGTCACCGTTCATCCATAAATAAAATGCTACTCAGCCACGAATGCGGATGTTGTGATCATCACCCTTCCAACTGTGTTCCGCAGAGCTCAGGGGTCTTATGCCTTGATCTCGGGCAGCCTGAGGTGGGGGGATCCCAGCACCTCACACCCCTCTCCATCCAGAAGAGCAAAATGGTGTGAATTCTAGGTGGGAGAGCTACTGTCAAAACAAAACACGAGTTCTGATTCAAGGAAAGATGTTTGTGGTGTAATGTGAAAAACGAAAAAGGCAACCAAGCAGTGTGAACACCCTAAGTTTATTTACATCGGTGGCATGATGATTTGGGCTTTTCCTCCCCAGTTTTCCCTTCCTGAAACATGTCTGTCTCTCCCGAGGGACAGGACACACACAAAGCATAACAGAAGGGAGTCCTTATAACGGAACTCAGAGTGGGAAGAGAGAAAGTCTTTCAAGCATACAACAAGTACAAGTAAGAATTATGCTAAGAAGTAGTCACTTTGGACAGAATAAGAGATCTAGTTTTATAATGGTGTTCTTGTTTTTGTAAATGTTGTACTTACCTTTAATCAAAATTAGAACGCTATATCTCTCATGTCCTGGGGACCCACTGTATTAACTAGCATTTTTTTTTTTAAGATTTTATTTATTTATTTGATAGAGACACAGCAAGAGAGGGAACACAAGCCAGGGGAGTGGGAGAGGGAGAAGCAGGCTCCCCGCTGAGCAGGGACCCAGATGCGGGCTCAACGCGGGACTGGATCCCAGGACCCCGGTATCATTACTTGAGCTGAAGGCAGACGCTTAACGACTGAACAACCCAGGCGCCCCCAACCCAGAGCACATTTTACTAGCGTCTTGTGGAGACAAAATCTTTACAGTGTTGCAGATGCTGGTTGGAAATTTCAATCTAGATATAATAGAGGGTCCATTAATGATTTATTTAGGGGGTACTGTGCTCCTCAAATGCCTCTGTGCTCTCTGCATTCAAAAACCACCTTGCCCATAAAAGATGTTCATGTCTGCTTGGAACTTCATGCAGCCTTAAGAATGTTGAAAAACTTTTAGAGACCTAAACTGACTTAAAAAATATTGTCATGGAATATTTTGCATATGGTATATTCACCCCCTTCAAGTTATTTTTTAGTAAATTTACCAAGTTGTGCAATCTGCACCATGGGTCTGTTTTAAAATGTTTTTGTCACCCCAATATATACATTTATTGCTAATCTCCACTGTCCCCCTACTCTGCCCCACCCCCGCCCCCAAACCACCATGAATCTATTTTTTGTCTTCATAGCTTTGCCTTTTCTGGATATTTTGTATAAATAGAATCACATAACATGTGGTCTCTTTTGTCTGGCTTTTTTTCACTAAGCATAGTATTTCTGGAGCTCGTCCATGACACAGCACATATCTGTAGTTTGTCCTTTTTTTAAACTGTTGAATCATATTCCATTGTATGGAGATACAAGTTAATTGACTCTTAAGTACAGGTATGGTTTTAATAAGTAACAGAAACAAGAAGAAAATCTACCTGCTGTCATTTTAGTGGCACCATAAAAATACATCTCTGAGATAGTATTTCTAATGGAAATAGAACATTCATTTTATAATATGTTGTCTAATCCATCACGAATTTGCACTACTATTTTAAAAATGAATTCATTAGCTCATGTCAATTGCTGTGCCAGGTTTTGGTGAAATGGGCATGCTAAGACATAATCGTTGCCCTAAACAAACTCAGATTTTTATGGGGAGATAGAATGTAAGGGGAAGAAATGAAAAAAGTTAGTGATTGGTGGAATAGCAAAGCAGCCAAACTTAAAATTCTAAATTGGAACATTAAATATTTATTAAATATTTACTAGGTACCAAATCCAGTGCTAGGTCTGAGCTGAAATGCTGTCTAAAAGGAAAAAAACTATAGGGAATAACATAAGAGCATATGCTTTAGGTTTAGTACAGTCAAGGGCCCAAGTACAGGACTAAGGTGACCTTGCTCATTTGGGGGAGCTAATAAAAAGAATCCCAGCCGTGAGTCCATCGCAGACCCCAGCTCAGTGTACCACAGGCTCTGCTCTGTGGACTGAAGCAGGGAGATGTTACTCTCCTGTTTGGCGCTCTGATTTTTAGGGCATTTCTAGAGCAGTGTGCTCAGTGTTCTAGAAAGACATTGGCAAAATAGACTATCTGGAATGACTGTGGTTATCTAGCCTTAGGGAAAAGAACAGGCATTGGGAGGCATGGGAGTGAGATCCGATACCTGTGTCTGAGTGTTCACAGAAATCTCTGGATGGTCTACCTAGCATGGGAGTGAGCTCCGGTCACTGGACACAACCCTGAAATTGGAAAGCTATTTGGGAGGATGTAGCACAAATTGTGACTGATTCAAGAGGGAGATAGTTTCCAAGCTTTTTTCCTGCCCAAACCCGAATAATGAAAAAATATTAAACAAGTAACAGATCAGTTCATTCATTCATTATTTATGCTTTATCTACAATGTGTAACCATGTTTAACCAATTCTTTTCCAATTCTTATCCTTCTAGATATTTCCGGAGACTTAACATTGCTATTGCTTGTCTTAGGCTTTGGGTTGGGATCCTTTTCCCTCTACAGTAGCTCCTTTTTGGCTTTTTTTTTTTTTTTTTTTTTGGTGTGCGTGTGACTTCTTTTCTTCTCTTTACCATATAGTGGGCATCCTCTGGGTTTGATATTCAGAATAATTTTAAGTTATTATGTATTCCTTGATACAGAAAACTATCACAGAGCTAGATTCCTTTTCTGCTTTTAGGTACACATCTGTGACCTTGAAAACCCTCCTTCTTCAGCTCTGTGTTTTTTACACATTTAGGGCGTCTTTTCACATCTTAGAATCATTCCATCCTGTATCTGATTGCTAGGTGAGTCTTCTTAAAACACACTTTGGATCGTTTTATTTTCTTTCCCAGAAATCTACAGTGCTTTTCGGTTGCTTACAGGAACAAGCTCAAACTCCCTATCCTCGCATTTACGAAATATCTAATCATGTCTCAATTTCCCTTTCCTGCCTTATCTCATTCTATTCTGAAAAGTCTTACTCAGGTTAAGTTAATCTTCCTGGTATTTCTCAAGTATCTGGCATTTCACGGTTTTTCCTTTTCTTTTTAGCCAGAAACTTTTAACATGTTTTCTGCCTCCATGGTTTGTGCTTGCGCATTTTTTCCATCATCCCTGAATTTACCAAATCCTAGTAATTCTGCAGCTGCAGCTCAAGACAGTTTTCCTCTATAAAAGCCTCTCTGGCTGCCTGCCCAAAGCCCTGGCTCACAAAGCAACTATGGTCCATTCTACCCTGGGACATATTTTCTTTGTTGACCATCATGATTATTTACTTGTTATAATTGCTATTTACTTGTGTATATTTTCATGCCAATTCTCCACAATGACAGGTCAGGAATGTGTCTTACATGTCTCTCTATCTCTCAGTATATGAAATGTCCCATGTTCGATAGAACTCAACAGATACACGATTTTCTCCAGGAGGCTGAATTTTAGAGCTGGAGGGAGATTTGGAGATCTGACTGGTTGGTTGATTGATTAATGGAGTCTGAACTAAAGGACACTTTAGATCTTTGAGCCTAGCCATGTACTCGGAATAACAGATTTTGACTAAGTGGCTTATATGAGTACATATCATCAAGGCTGATTTATAAAGAAAGATATGTAGCATGGCTGAAGAGTTTGATGCAAAAGTAAATCTAAACCATGGCTAAAATTAACCTGTGGAGAAATCTTTCCACAGTCTGGTGGTCTTGTCAAAGTTTAAAAGCTCAGCTTCTGATTAAAATTGATGCCCCTAATTCCATATTCAGGGAAGCCCCACACTGGAGATTGGTGATTTATATTTACCAAGTGCAGCACCACTTAACGGCAGCAGGTGGCGCTGCTTCTCTGCGGAAATTTTTCATGATCCGCCCTCTAGCCTCCGGCTCATTCACTTTGCTCCTGCAAAGGCCTGACCCAGAAAAGAAGTTTGAATATTTTATGCTACCGGAAATAAGACTTGCTTACATTTGTTATATATTCCTTGATAGGCAAGGGTTTCAAAGAGCCAGGTCTTTACCTACTTATTTTTTTATGGCTTTCTTTTCTTTTTTTTTTTTTTTATGGCTTTCATTTTCCCATTTCTGATCTTGGAAGACCCCGTTCCTGGTGATCCCTGAGCTCTTCACACACCGAGAGGATCTTTCAGATCTTGTAGTTAGTTGAGGAACTTGGGTAGGCATCTAAGTCCACCCTTCCTTTCTTCAGTGCGGATCTTCTAGCCCAGATCCCTGGTCAAGGTCATTCGTCAAATCAAAGGCAAAGTCAGGAGTCAAACTCAGATGTCCTCCCAGTCGTCTTGGCAGTCCCATCCCGTGGTGGAGGTTAGAATGCCACCTGACCGCAGGTATGCGGTGCCCCTAGGGCAGTGGGACAACAGTCTGCATTGATTTCAGTCGGAGAAGCGGCCAGGGGCAGTCCCCAAATAGGAGAGTGTGTGAGCCAGTGTGAGTGAGTGTGTGTGTGTAACAGATTTTGTACAATTTCTCTCGTTCTTCTTTGTAGCATCTGACCTGAGGTAAGCCCTCAACAAGCATTTGTTGAATGAATGAAGGATGGAAGGAAATGAAGAACGAAAAGAAGGTAAGAAGGAAGGGAGGGAAGGAGGAACAGAAGGGAAGGAAGGGAGGGAAGGAGGAACAGAAGGGAAGGAAGGGAGGGAAGGAGGAACAGAATGGAAGGAAGGGAGGGAAGGAAGGAAGGTAGGGAAAGAAGGAAGGGAAAGAAAACAAGAATGGGAGGAGAGGGAGGGAAGGAGAGAGAGGGAGCGAGCGAGGGGGAGGAGTGGGAGAGAGGGAGGAGGGATGGGGGGGCCAGAGGAAGGGGGATGGAGTTGGGAGAGCAGAGGGAGGGGGAGGAGGGAGGAGAGGGAGGGAGGGAGAAGGAGTTGGGGGAGCAGAGGGAGGGGGAGCAGTGGGGAAAGAATGGGGGGAAGGAGAGGGAGGGGGAGGGAAGGGGGAGGAAGCCCAGTGAACTTGCAGGAACTCTAATCACCAGTGACATCTGGTAGATCCTGAGATGATTTACAGTGGTTTAGGGCACTTTTAGAAATAAGATGTGGCCAACTGGATTATTGTATTAACTCTCGTTTCATCCTATTTTGACTCAGGCCATAAATTAAAAGGTGAATTCCGCACTCTCTTCTCTGGCTGAGGCTAAATCTTGACCCAGCTCTGCTGTCCTGTCCAGGGCAGTGAGGGGGCACCATCTCCGTGCGTCCCCTCCGCTGACATCACCGAAACGACCCTTTCAGGAGGGCACGGGGAACATGGAAAGTTTGGGGAACAAGTCCATATTCAGAGTCAGAAAAATTCCAGGAAATCCAGACCCATGATTTTATTAGATTCATGTCTAGAATGAGAATTATCATTGTTGGTGGAAGCGATGCCCGAGACCGGAAGTACAGCTCCTCTGTTTCTCACTCAAACATGAACGATTGGCTTTTCTCTCTTATGGTGTATCTAATTCTAGAGGCAAAGCCTAAACGCTGCATTTTATTTTGGTGATTTTCCTTCAGATCCAGTCCCTGCATGGGGTAACGTCTTATGCCATGGATCTCACTTGACCTAACCAGCTGTCAAAACTCATTTGTCTTCTGTCCCATTCAGAACCTCCCTGATTGACCAAATAAATTGATATGATGTGATAATTCTTGTCTTAGGGGACATATTTGATTTTTAAACACAGGCCTCCTGGGAACATAATGCTTTAGCTCAGGAGTTATGTCTATTCTGCAAGTGGAGATTTCTGGCATTAGATCATGTTGGGAGGGAGGTGGGTTTAAATCACTCCTGTCCTCCATTTGTCCTACCACCTGGGCGGCCATATGTTCTTGCAAATGCATGAAGAGGTTGTATCAGAAAATCATCCATTTAGCAAACATGATTGAAGACCTGCTAGGTGCCAGGCACTATGTTGTCAGGGCCTAAGGCACAGAGATTATGTGAAGTCAGGTCTGTACCTTGAGGGAAGAGACAGGCAGCGATTTGGGTGATTAAATCGCACAGTGCTGGGTGCTGGCGGTGGGGAGAGAAGTGGATGGGCTTCAGGGTTGGAAAGGACGTAGACCACAGCAATGGTAACTGCCCAATGCTGATGGAGTGGGGGAGGGACGGATTTAGGGTGACTCCCAGTTTTATTTTGGAAACCAGGCAGTTAGAATAAAGGGCACTAGGGAGTGTAGTCATAGGGGGAATCAGGGTTAACACAAGGTGTGTTTGTGTGTGTGTGTGTGTACAAGAAAATGTGAGTGTGTTGGCAAGTAGGGATGGTATATTTTCAGTTTAGGGATGAATGAATGACTTTGAGCCTAAAGAAAGGCAAGTCTCGGGAGACCTCACTGTTACCAACCAGGATTACACTACACATCACAGTCTTTATCATAATCATAACATTTAAATTATTAAAAGACCATGCTTGATTTTTCTCTTCACCCTTCAGGAGGTTAAATATGCAGTTCTTGCATTTGAAGCTCTTATGGCTAAGGAAAACCATAAGGACCCCAGGACAGCTGGGCACATGCAAAGCCCAAACACGGAGGAACCGGAAACGTGACTGAGACCCATGGGAGCCCTGCTTGGCCATGGACATCACCCAGCAGCAGACCAGGGCTCCCAAACAGGCTGGTGTGCGGTGCGGGTGCTTCTCTCACCCTTCTCAGTCGCTAGAGCCTGACTATCCTGGATGGTGGGCCGGTCTACGGACATCTCCCCTCATGAAGGAGAGAAGTGATGAGGCTTCAGAGTTCACCAGGTACCAGGTCCTGCACTGGGACCATCCATGCTTGTCTTTATTGGAAGCCAAGTGCAAATCTTCACTGTCCCTCATACATTCCCATTTCCAGCTTTAAAGATTCTTGCCATGCTAGTCCCTTTTTTTAAAATTTCACTAACAGCATTGTCTTCAGAAGGTTTCTGTTACCTGGGAGATTGATAATACTTACAAATTGAAAAAATCAAATTGCAGTTTCTAACTTGTTGGATAATTTGCCTATGATGCTTGAAAGTAGAAAGTGTGGACTGAAAGACAGGAACCAAAGAATGATTCATTTTGAGTGGGTGACCAGGGCAAAAATTTCCTCTCTGGAGGAGGCTGCGGCACACATGGGGTGGGAGAAAGGAAATCAATCAATGAATCAGCTTAGGGGCTGATTACGTCCCCCTCCAAATTCATATGTTGAAGTCCTAATCCCCAGTACCTCAGACTGTGACTGTATTTGGAGACAGGATCTTTAAACAGGTGATTAAGGGCGCCTGGGTGGCTCAGTTGGTTAAGCGACTGCCTTCGGCTCAGGTCATGATCCTGGAGTCCCGGGATCGAGTCCCGCATCGGGCTCCCTGCTCGGCAGGGGGTCTGCTTCGTCCTCTGACCCTATCCCCTCTCATGTGCTCTCTCTCTCTCATTCTCTCTGTCTCAAATAAATAAATTAATTAATTAATTAATTAAAAAAAAATCTTAAACAGGTGATTAAGTTAAAAAGAGGCCGTGAGGGTGGGTTCTAATCTAATCTGACTAGTGTCCTCATAGGAAGAGATCAGGACACAGCCTCGTACAGAGGGAAGGCCATGGGCAGACACGGGGACAAGGCGGCCCCCCACAAACCAAGGGGAGAGGCTTCAGAAGAAACCAACCCTGCCTTGATCTTGGGCTTTCAGCTTCCAGAACAGTGAGGAAATGCATTTCTGTTGTTGAAGCCCCCAGCCTGTAGGACTCTGTGAGTGGCCTCAGCCAATGAAGACACGACCCAAGGGCATGAGTGGGAGCGCCTGCATAGTCTGGAGATTCTTACGCCCGAGTTGGTTGCTGTTACAATTTTACCAAGCATTTACTGAGTGTTAGGGCTAGCACATGGTAATGGTTTTTATGATCGTAAAATGCATCTTCTTTATCTCTGCACCTGGAGGAGGGACGTGGAAGCTGCAATGGCTCATCCATAAGTCTGTGGAGAGCGGGAGTAAAGAAAACGTCCTTCACACATTCAGGCAGAGAGATTCAGATTCTGGCCTTATCGTCCATTTGTCAAGCTCTGCAAAATTGTTGGAACAGCACTGCTCCTCTGTGTCAAAGAAGGGTCTGTCTTAGCTACCTTTCACCTGTTGAGGATGGTTCCAGAGTTGACACCATGGACACCGTCCTTCTACTCTTCACTTTTAAATCTATATGGCTTTTCTAAGTAAAATGTGAAAAATGCTTTGCGATTGGAGTTCTGTTTGGAATTACAGCCATGTTAGGCTAAGCTCTTCCAAACCCCTTCTTTCTCTCTCAGGGTACTTCTTTTCATCAGAATAAAAAAAAACCATCTTTTTATTTTTTTAAAAGCATGTGAGAGCATAGCTAAGCGATTGTCTTCCCTACTTGTTTGGGGACGACAGGGAGGTAGAGGAGGGAAGGCAGAATGAAGCAAAAGGAGAGCCTGGGAGCCCGGGAGGGTTATTTACCTTCGTATCCATTCCCCAGCTTTATCCTCTGCTTTTGGGTGCCCTGCTCTACACCCTGGGACATGACCTCAGTGGACCCTGTCACCTGAACTCTTGCCCTCTGCTTTCTGGTTGGTGTGGCCAATGGGAACCACGAATAGGGAGGGAGGGAGGGAGGCATAGAGAGAGGTCTGGTATTTATCTCCCCAGGTCCCTGCGGGCCTTGTCACAGTTCTCTGCCTGTGTTGGTTCCAGGAAGACTTACCTCCTCCCTTTTTCCTTCAGGCTTAGGGGTAGTAATTGCTCCCATCCTTCTGCTGCTTCATCATTGCTCATCATTGCTTTTAATGCTACCTGCCACTTTGCAAATAGTCTTCATTAAACTGTTCTCTCAGTTAAACCTTTGAATATATGCCAATAGGATCCTCACTTATCCACACTCATAGCTCAGAGGACATTTGCTTTCTTATACTAGCTAACTAAAGCAATAGCATGTATTCTGGAAAACTTTGGTATCCTTTCTCCTTCTGCTACTTTATGGAGAGGGAACAGAGTCTAGGTCACCATTGCTCATCTCTCAGTGAACTCTTGTACCTTTTTAATCATTCATGCACATGCGTTCTTGTGGCTTCCTCCAGGCACACGCAAGCCAGGCTAGGAAGGAGTAGGGATGAGGTTCCCTCTATGACATTAACAGATGTAATAAAACAAAACAAAACAAAACAAACAAACAAACAAACAAAAATATATATATATATCTCCAGGGGTATGCTGGCAAGTGTTTAAAAACTAGCTCTCTTGGTGAAGGGGGGTCCTGATTTGTGGCATTTGTCATTTTCTGTGGCGTAAATACTTCCACCATGGCCGATTTCAAACCACCAGAGTGACATCACTGAATGTAAATTGGGGAGAGATGTTCCTTAAGCATCAGCTCTTGGGAGCTTGTACAAGCCGGCTCCAGCCTCCCATTGTTTATATCCAGCTATAGACAGATTGGGACAAACACTTTGGTATTACAGTGGGAACGTAATAGGTTAAAATATTAGACATAGTAAAGTTGTTTGTCGGGAAAGTCAGTATGCGACAAATGAGGGTATTAATTAGTTAGCAGGTGAACATAAATAGGAAGCACAGGTGTGTTTGTGTTTTCGGTGGAGGGGACAACTGCTGTTCAATCATTCCAGGTTTAAAATGCTAATTGGAGGCAGCCTCGTGATTCTGGGGTCCTGGTACATCGTCACAGTCTCTAAACTATTGAACGTGTTGGCGTGTTTTTGCAAATAAACCTGAGTTATGGCTGGGGGCTGGCTTTTCTCCTTTCTCAGTTCAGTTTTATGTCTAATTAGCAATGTGAGGTAGAGGTGAAAAAATTATCTAAAAATAACTTTAGATCTGGGAGCTAATATACTGAATATACTCCTGAATATACCAGGCACATGGTATATTCTCTGAATATACTCCTGAAATGTGACCAAGATTATATAACCGAATGTTGGAATCCAGAACCCACAAGATTGCCGTTAAAGCTTGAAAGAATAAAGTCTAACGAGAACAAAAAGTAGAAGTAGTAAATAAATAGCAGATATAAAGGTACAGTACTTCTAACCCTCTAATGGGGGCCGTGATGAAAATATAAATAGGTTTCAAAAGCGTTCAGAGAAATTCTGGGATGAAAGGAGTACTGTAAGTTATTATGGAAAACTAGCTAAATTTTCAGTTAATTCCAAACCTCTTGAAGTGCCTGCCATGATCCCCTACATGTTATATCATTAAATGAAACTGTAAAAATCCAATGGGAATTTATCCCTTTGGGAATTTATTCCAGTATTTTTGAACTTGTGTGCAAATTCAGTTTCTGCAGTTACATGCTGTTTTAAATCCATTAGTCGCGGCCGGTGGCGTTCTGAGGGTGGGCTGCTAGGAGCAGTCAGCTCTCTGTGCAGCAATATGGAAGTGCATTGTGTATAGAGAATTTAAAAACAGTAATAAAACTGACGATAGGTCAGCCTGCTTTTTATCATCACCATGTGCTAGCAATTCTAAACAATGTCAGTGATGAAATGCTCCTTGGAAAAAAATCTGTTGTTGGTTTAAGTTTCAAACAATTTTTATGCTTACTACTAAGTTTTAATAATATATACATATATTAGCTCTAAATTCGCAAGTATTTATTACTTGTCCTTTAATAAACATTATATTGTACATGGAAATTAATTTGGAGAATTTCCAGGGATCTCATTGGCCCCCAACATAGGTGGGTTTAGCACACATGCTTTTTCTAGATGAAGTTCACAGTAGTTTGGATTTGTTTGAGCTCGCTCCTGACAAAGTTTGTGTCTCCAACCCCTAGAGTACTACACACTCCTTGCATTGAAGTAGTAGATTTGAAATAAACAATGAGGTACAGAGGTTATGAAGAGGGAGAAGCAGAATTTGAATTGTTTCAATTCTTTATTCTTTGTCACCACTTTGTATTTATTTGCGTTTAAATGAGAAACAGCAAACAGTGCTGCCTGAGGGGTATATTGTTTTTGTTTGGTTAGTACACATTTCATCCTACATGATATAGTTTTCTGAATTTGACTAATAGCTTTAAAATAGAATTTTCTTCTTCTTTTTTAATTTTTATTTATTTATTTTTTAAGATTTTATTTATTTTTTTTGTCAGAGAGAGAGAGAACAAGTAGGGGGAATGGCAGGCAGAGGGAGAGGGAGAAGCAGGGTGTCTGCCAAGCAAGGAGCCCAATGTGGGACTCGATCCCAGGACCCTGGGATCACGACCTGAGCCGAAGGCAGCCGCTTAACCGACTGAGCCACCCAGGCGCCCCTTTCTTCTTCTTCTTAATTGTTAATTGTTCACAACCAAATGAAAAAATGAAGAAAATAAAACATTAATGGTATGATTTAGAAGTAAAATTTTAACTTCTATGGATGTTTCAGCTTTATTCAAATCACTTCTTTAATTTTTATTGGCATGATTATATATACAAAATTCAATAAAAGACATTTTTAACTCTCTGGATTTATTTTCTGACTATTATTACTATTATTTATTTCATTTCATATTTGTACTCAAAATAATTTTGTCCTACAGAGGAAGAGAGTCAAATACTCCAGGTATGTACACTAGGTAGATATGCTAGGTAAATATGAGAGACTTGTATCAGTATAAAGTCACCCCAAAGTACCGCCTGGGTGGCTCAATCGGTTAAGCATCTGCCTTCGGATCAGGTCATGCTCCTAGGGTCCTGGGATCAAGTCCTGCATCGGGCTCCCTGCTCAGCGGGAAGCCTGCTTCTCCCTCTCCCTCTGCTGCTCCCCCGGCTTGTGCTCTCTCTCTCTAATAAACAAAATCTTAAAAAAAAAAAAAAAATCACCCCCTAAAATGTCTGCCTTGTTACTATAATGTTTTATACATTCTTTAAGAGAAAATCGTCCACGGTAGGCATTAAGATCATACTCCAAAGGATGCCAAGTGGAATGGACTCCAGTAACACAGAAGTAGACATGATACGTACTCCCAGGAGCCTCTGGAAGAGACCTGTGCGCACCTGAGTTCTTTCTCCTGCATGCAGTGGTCACTGCAGGCTCAGAGACCTCAAAGGTTGTAAACCCAATACCGCATGGGCGGAGTCTAAGCAAAAAAGAAGCACATGAAAATGTCCTTCTAGTCTACCTGCTTAGCAGCACACACAGACACAGACACACAGAATCAAATTTGGTGAGACAGCAGCTTTTCCCCCTTTGCCAGCATTGTCACCCGAAATGAGCTCTGCCC